GTCATACCAGCCACATGACCATGGAAATGTCTTTGGACAGCGCTGGCTCTTTGGCTTTGAAACTGTGATGAGCACCACCCCGTAGAGTTGGGAATGACTAGCACATATGTGCCAGGGGAACCTTTACCTTTACCTTTTATACACAGGAATCTAGTCAATTGATGGTCCAGGCTAAATTGGTGCTAAATTAGGGTCAACAGAATTCATCAGAAGCTGGACCTGGGTCTCTTGTAATGACTCTAAATCAATGTCACATTTAAATCTGATTTGCAGTTCAGCTTGTTCTTCTCATACACAACCTTATACAGTACATGGCATTAAGCTAAGAGTTTGTAAGTCATATTGTCAAATTATTCATAGAAAAAAACCAAGGTGAGATACACCTCACTTGACCTCTGCCGGGATTCACTGTATAAATGGGGCACAGTATCCTCCCCTTAGTGTGACTGTGGGGCCCCACGCTGAACTGTAGATCACATCGTGACCGTCTGTAAGTTTCTGATTTTTTTTCAAATAAACAATACTGCGCTTCAATAGATGGCCTAGACCATGGGGGTTAAACTCATGATGTGATGTTGTTGTCCTGTGATGCTTTGTGACATTTTTCCCCCTTGCGGAACTGGGGTTGGGGGTGACCTGTGCAGGCTGGCTAAAAATGAATGATTTTTTTAAAAAAGTTTTTTAAAAATCAGGTTTTTTAAAATTTAAATCGGATTTTATTTTATTTTTATCAAATTTATTTTAATAATTTTAAATATCTATTTTAATATCTATTTAAGATACCTTAATAATTTAACTTATTCAGCATGAAATGGAGCTTAGTTATATAGCATGAGGCTGTATATTCTGGAAGAGTGGGACTGTTGGTGAGTCAACAGCGGGTCAGAGGAGGAGCTGCTGCGGGAGAGAAATGACAGTTGCTCTTTAAAAATTATGATTCAAGTCAAGTTGATTTCAATCAAGCCTTTTTACTAGTGATTTAAATCGTGATTTAAATTGACTTGATTTAAATCAAATTCACCCTGGGCCTGCGCCTGATGCATCTGGTCCGTGGGCCGCCAGTTTGACACCTCTGGCCTAGACTTTGGGATCTGAATATAGATCCTTTTAATATTCATATTTTATTGTGTTTTTTTAAAATCTAGGCAAAATGTTAATATATATTGCAAGTCCATGTATGATATGCCATATGCTAAATCAATCAATCAATCGAGGTGAGATATGTTCAGGAAATGAAAAATGTATCTTCTAAAGAACAAGAAATTCTAAACAAGTTACAAGTTATGGAATATTTCACTGAAGTGTTCCAAGTTAGTGATGTTCCAATGAAACAAAAGTGCTAGAATGTTCTGTATCCAGAAGAACAACACTTGAGATGTTTCTAATATTCTAGCCAGAGAATATTCTAGTCTTGTTTTTCATCAAAAGAAAGACAGCTAACAGTTCCTGATGAAAATCACCAGTCAGTCAATTTATAAAAATTCATTCATCCATCTGTTTCTCTATCCCTTCCCAACATTCTGGCATTTTTTTCTTTGTCATGTAGCAGTGTTAACAGGTGGGAAAGTGAAATTGAGACTTGTATTCTTTTTAAAAGAACAGGCTAATGTACATTTATTTCAATTACATGATTACATGCCTGATACTAGGCAGGGTAGGATAACCTGCCTGAAGGTCAAAGAGAAAAATGAATGCCAGTCTATGCATGGTGATATTTTTAATCTTTTTATACTGTTAATGTAGGTTGCCTAAGTCTTGTAACAGTCAGATTTAGCATGGTTTATTTAGAGGAAAGTGGGTTGAACAGAGAGTGCTGGGTTCTGTCTGGCTGCCTCAAAGCAAAGAGAGTTCAGATCCTACTTTCTGGAATGAAAACAAGCAAAAGAAAGATAGTTAATTCCTGCTCATAGGAAACCTCACCAACTCTCCTGCCTGCTTGCTTCAGCATATCTTAATATACTCAGCAACCCAGAACAAAACAGAGTTTTCAGCAAACAGAATAGAGTAGAGTAAAGTAGAGTAGAGTAGAGTAGCAGTGGTAGGTTGCAGTGGCGGTGGGAGGCTCTCCCCACCCACCCGGACGTCATCAAATACACTCTGCGATGCGCAGAAGCAAGGTGTGTGTGCGAGCGAAGCGAGAGCGCGATCCCGTTGCGAACCGGTAGTAAAGGTAAGTAGAACCCACCCCTGATCCCCCCACCTTTTAAAGAACTGAAGAGGCTTCTTGGATAAGAAAAGAAACGTTTTAAAAAAAACAACTAAAGAAAATCCAATTGCCTTTTGGAAAAAACACCTTTAGGTTTAGAGTATAGTCCCTCATCAACCGCCATTTTTGACATGGGACTTCCCTCCGTCAATACTGAATATATGAGCTCCTTATTCCAGCTACATTTTCTATTACAGAGTTCTCAGGCAAAATAGACATTGCATTTTTATTTGGTCCGGGCTTTCCCCCTACTGATTTCACCTGAACATCCAACGCAGAACAAAATCAAGCATTATCAAAGCTATTTGCTGGAAGACATATACCTGGTAATTTGATTACTACAGTCTTGCTACGTTTGTGCTTTGAAGTACTATGGCTTCATTAAGCATCTTTTCCTACATATCTATGAAGCAAGGCATACCTTTCTTTTCAGAAATGTTCTCTTCAGGTACATGATGCTTACCTTTGATAAATGTTTGTATAAGGGTTGGCTAAAGAAACCATATAAAAGTAAATATAAAAATTCTGGGCATGCATTATTCATGATTTAAGATAAGACTACACTCATTTTCTAAAGTCTTTTTATTTCAAATTGAGTCAAAATAAAATACAAATTACATATGTCTTTAGTCTTTAGATGTTTTGAAGTCACCAAAAATCTTGTAACCAGCGAAGGCCTAATGAAAACATTAATAGCAAATTCTCTTCCCTTCTGCCATTCATTGCAATGTGTTCTATAAGTACTGATTCCAAGATATGACACTGATTGTACAAACTTATTTTAACAGCTGTTCTGATGTAATCTGCATGACTGCGTGGCTGAATTTTTTACAGTACTTGTAACCCAGCATCTCAAAGTACTTGTAATCCAGCATCTCAAAGAAATCAGCTATTTTAACCCAGATTGGATCTATTCTTTTAGTATTAAAAATGTTCTGAAGAAGAGATATAACAAAAATCTGTTATGCAATTCTTTGACATTACAGTGCCATAGTGTGTCAAATTTGTGTAAGTTAGCACAGACTTGGGAAAGTTGTATAAAAACACCATAGAGCTGGCTGCATTAAAAAAAATCCTAATAAATTGAATTTACCATACATTGTAGGAGATAATGTAAATACTTTTGTCTAGCAATCTAAATGACTCTTTTAGATGTGGACTTCACCAAACAGGCATCAATATTAACCTGACTATTTACTTTGCAATAAAAGCTGGAGGAACTCTGTTGCATCCAACAAATTAAGATCTGATACTGACAGAGACATAGATCATGAACTTATTGTTAATTTCTAATTTAAGGAAGAAGAAAGCAAACAGTATTATAAGAACTCAGTGAAGGAGTTACTAGCAGACAGAACTGACAGGTGAAGGAGTAAAACATCATAAGATGTCATTTATTGGGACATAAAAAGTTAGCAGTGACTGAAGAATAAAAACAGATAATACTGTGTAGAAAGAATATATCAAGGCAGGTAGTTTAATTTTTAACAAGTTTAACAGGGCTAGATATATAAATTGTAAAGAAAACCAAATGATTTTTTAAAAAAATCTATATTTAAAAAAGTAGGGGAAAGGGACATTTAAAAAAAATAAAACCATCTGCTTTATAATGTAATGGAATAAAATAATAAATAAGTATTACACTTTCATGAAGCTAACCCAGGTATCTCTGTCCAAAGATTATTGCTGCAGCCAGCAGCAGCTTCATCTATGTTACTAAGTCAAATCAAGGTATTTTATTACTATCATAGATCAGATCTACAATCCCAAAGGTCTACTGACATAGGTGAGGAATTACAAAAGGCATTAAATATGAGACAAGCTCTAGCACATGCAAAAAGGTGACTTTCATGAATTTGAAATGATTGTAGTTGAATTTATGTTGAATTTCTGGATGTTACTCTTCCCATTGTTCATTTACACCAGTATATTCAAGTTTACGTTAGCTTTTAGCTAGATCTAAGTCTCCACAATTCACATATGGTAAGAAGTACATCAGAGTTGAGGCAGTGTAAGAGAATTGTGCATGATATCTTCGAGATGAAGACAAAAACTCACAATGCGTGTCCAAGGATCTACTTGATTATACATATCTTGAGTTCTAGTCTCCATACTTAGATGACATGATTTTTTTCTGTTTTCTTGTTTATATTTTTTTACTTCATATATCCGACAATGGCAAGATGCTTCTAAAATGGGCATCTTCTGTTCACATGTTGTATGCCCTGAGTCTCCGGAGAGGGGAGGCATATAAATTTAATAAATCAATAAATAAAAGTAATATAATCTTTGTTGTCCTTTATATTGTTTTCAGAACAGGGGAAAGCATACACTCTAAATCAGGGGTGTCAAACTCACGTGGTCATGGCAGTGTCACATGACATATCGGGACTTTCCCCCCCCTTCGCTAAACTGGGTGGGGGCGTGGCCAGCGCTAGATGCACCCAGCCCGCAGGCCGGGAGTTTGACAGCCCTGCTCTAAATCAACTACGTTTTAAGAAACTGATTTTTCTCTAACATGCCAATCGTAATTATATCTATATGTCTAACATAATAAGAATTGGGTAGAGGTCTCTATGGAAACTTGGAGACAGATTTAGAGAAAGGGAAAGAATTTGTTTATAGCATGCAAAAAAATAAAATGCTCAAAAATCCACACGAATGTACATTAAACTTCGACCAATTTCTAACTTTATATTGTGACTATGGGGAATTTTAAATTACTGTCAATTTCAAACAGCAAGATCACCACTTGGTTTGCTACATTGGTAGCTTTATTTAGAAATCAACGTACCTGCAGACATGCTGGTGCTCTTCCTTGAGGCTTATTCACATCAACATCTACCAGCTGCCATCCTCCTGTAGCATCTTCATGAAACATCTGGAGGGGGAAAACACTTGTCAGAATCTATTTATGTGCTCAGATCTACAAACAAAACGGGTGATGTTTATTTTGTGACCATCCTCTTCTCTACATTGCATTCTTTTCTTCTCAGAAATCTCTTGTTATTACAGAGAATGCAGTGCAGACTCCATTGATTTCATACTATATTATTCCACCGCCTTTGTCCTTGAATTGTCACTGATTTCTAGTTACAGATTTTATGGCTGGGGCTGAACATAGGACCTGCAAACAGGAATCAGTTCAATTTCTTGCACGAGGAATTCTTCCATGCAGAAAACTGCACACAATGCACATGAAATAGCCATGTCTGGCAACAGAACACAGATTATTACAGAATACTAAAAATGTGCACTTTTTGCAGTAATGTACTGCAATGAAACATAGAGTGCTTAAGAAATAATGTCATGGCTTCATATAAGCCATGTTTCCTTGCTTATTCTCCTCTCCAGCACGATGTTAAGGTGGCTAAAAATGCATCCTTCCTTCTCTAATTTGCTTAAAACCAACTATTTTGTTGGAAAAGGGCCAGAATGAGAAGGAAGCAGGCTGTCTCGGGCCTTTTTCATAACCACTCTTGCTATTATCATCAATTACTCCTAGAAGTTTGTTGCTTTTGAAATAATCTAGTATTTTTTTTGAAGAGTCAACAAATAAATAAATGAATAAATAAAAAAAGATTTGTATGGCTGCCCATGTAAAAACACAACACTGCGTGGCTCAAATATTGGTACTGCTTGTGAGGCTTGTTAGCCTGAGAGGGGGATAGAAATAATTCAAATGAATGAATGAATGAATGAATGAATGAATGAATGAATGAATGAATCTATGTAAATGTTAAGGGTTATCCGCTGAATTATGAATATTAGTTATTGTATAATTACTACCCATAACAAGATAAATTGCATACTGCAACTTAATTGGAAGAATGTGTAGGGTAGAAACATTACATAATGTTTATTTATTTATTTATTTATTATTATTTATTTATTGAATTTCTATACCGCCCTACTCCCGAAGGACTCAGGGCGGTGAACAGCCATGAAATAAAACACATAAATATACAAAATTTAAAATCGAATAAAATGAATTAAATAAATTTGGCTGAATTGATACCCATAATTTAAAATACCCATATTTTAAAATACAGTAAAAATTTAAAATTTACACTTAAAAGGGAGAAGATTTAGGCGAGGCCGGCTTGATGAAATAAAAGAGTCTTCAGCTCGCGGTGGAAGGTGCGCAGATCCGGAATCCTCCGTCATCTCTGGGGGGAGCTCATTCCAGATCGTCGGTGCCCCCACAGAGAAGGCTCTCCCCCTAGGGGCCGACAGCTGACATTGTTTGGCCGACGGCACCTGGAGGAGCCCCTCTCTGTGGGAGCGTACTGGTCGGTGGGAGGCTATTGATGGTAGTAGGCGGTCCTGTAAGTAACCAGGTCCTAAGCCATGGAGCGCTTTAAAGGTGGTAACCAGAACCTTGAAGCGCACCCGGAAGACCACCGGGAGCCAGTGCAGCTCGCGCAGAAGAGGTGTTACATGGGAGCTCCACGCTGCTCCCATAACCACCTGCGCGGCCGCACTCTGTGCCAGTTGGAGCCTCCGGGTGCACCTCAAGGGGAGCCCCATGTAGAGAGCGTTACAATAGTCCAGACGAGAGGTGACGAGGGCATGAGTGACTGTGCGTAACGAGTCCCGATCTAGAAAGGGACGTAACTGGTGAATCAGGCGAACCTGATGAAAAATCCTCCCGGTCACGGCCGTCAAGTGCTCTTCTAAAGACAGCCGTGAATCCAGGAGGACGCCCAAGTTACAAGCCCTTTCCGTGGGGGCCAATGATTCGCCCCCAATAGCCAGCGATGGCGCCAGCTTACTATATCGGGATGTCGGAAACCACAGCCACTCGGTCTTGGATGGGTTGAGCCTGAGCCTGTTTCTCCCCATCCAGATCCGTACGGCCTCCAGGCACTGGGACATCACTTCAAGGGCATCGTTGGGGTGGTCCGGGGTGGAGATGTACAGCTGGGTGTCATCAGCGTACAGATGGTACTTCACCCCGAAACCACGGATGATCTCGCCCAGCGGCTTTACATAAGTGTTGAACAAAAGGGGCGAGAGAACCGATCCCTGCGGCACCCCACATATAAGGGGCCTCGGGGTCGATCTCTGCCCCCCTGTCAACACAGACTGCGACCGGTCAGAGAGAAAGGAGGAGAACCACCGTAAAACGGTGCCTCCCACCCCCAACCCTTCCAGCCGGTGCAGCATGATACCATGGTCGATGGTATCAAAAGCCGCTGAGAGGTCTAACAGGACCAGGACAGAGGAACAACCCCTGTCCCGAGCCCTCCAGAGATCATCAACCAACACGACCAATGCCGTTTCCGTGCTGTACCCAGGCCTGAAGCCCGACTGGAACGGATCTAGATACGACGCTTCATCCAGGTACTGGGGAAGCTGTCACGCAACCACACTCTCAACAACCTTGAAACAAAGTTTACATGATAAAATTTGATAAAACTTTGTTTGAAACAAAGTTTACATGATAAAATATAGGCTATTCAATATGTGAAAATCAATTAGGAGGGAAGCTGCCCACAAACCCACAAAAGCACTACCAAAAAAGCAAAACAAAACCACCCCACCCCCAAAACCCAGCGAAAACCAAAAGATACCTCACTATGAAAGAAAGATAATTTACAGAGTCAACTGCAAGATTGCAGCCGACACTACATTGGACAAACAGGATTAATCAATTACAGCAAGGATGAAGATACACAGAATGCAATGAAGAACAAACACCAAAAATACCCTTTAACTATTTACCCTCTCAAAATGAACCACAAATTTGAGTGGGAAAATAGAAGAAAAATTGACCAGATAAATTGCAGAAGAGCCAGATAACACAATGAGGTTTCAAAGCCCATTCGTTATTAATACTGATGATGTTACCTAGTTTGGTAATGAAACGTCTGCCAGAAAACAACCAAGCTCAGAGAACAACAAGAACCTCTTATTTTAAACCTGAACTACAAATATTCTCCTTTATTGGAGCCAGATAATTCCTGAAAGTGCCAATAAGAGAACAAGACATGATTTATCACCAAGGTATGTAATCCAAACCATTCACAATACATTAATAATCAGGATAGAATTAACATTAGGTCAGGTCACCAATCAAAACACACTTTCCAAGAAGCCTCAAATCATCAGCCAAACCCAGAGAAATTAAACACACACACACACACTATTAGTGGCTTTAGACAAATAAAAGCTAATGTTTACCACACACATTCCTTTGTCTATATAAACATTTAGCCATGTTTACCTGAGTAGTTGCAGTTGAAGTTGTACTGCTTCTGGAACCCCACATCTGTTGAAACTGCACACGGATTTCAGCAAATGTTTCAATGATGACAGCAATAAATACGTTCTATAAAAGAAGGAACATATATGTAAGGAGGCAGACAAGGATTATTTTCAAAGCCTGCTTAATTGGATCCATCACCACAACAGCACTCAACAAGGCCATTACTCTAGGTGCCTAGGAGAATCTCTTTTTGTTTTAAATAATAAATAATATTTATTGTGCTACTCGCTATTCTGCTTCCTCCGTCGCTATGCAAGACACCATATTTCATTTATTTTCAATATAACAACACAATATTTTCCACTAGAATGAAGATGAAGAATATGAATAGCATCAGCACAAGAAAGAAAAATAATATTAAACATGGGGCAAAATCAAACCCAGGAGGAAGCACTGAAAGAGGTCAGAACTTTAGAAAAACAATAGAAGTTCTAGAAAAACTAAAAGGAAGGAAGGAAGGAAGGAAAGGGTGCTGGATGAAGTACAAATGAGTGAGGTACAGACTTTCTTCTGTTCTAATGAATATGTTCAATTGGGAAAGTGAAAAGCTTTCTTGCTTGGAAGTTGGGGAACAACTAGAAGCAAGATGAGTACAGACCAACAATAGCCCTTGTCTATCTTTCAATAAGAGGGGACGCAGTGGCTCAGTGGCTAAGATACTGAGCTTGTCAATCAGAAGGTTGGCAGTTCAGCGGTTCAAATCTCTAGTGCTGCGTAATGGAGTGAGCTTCCGTTACTTGTCCCAGCTTTTGCCAACCTAGTAGTTTGAAAGCACGTAAAAAATGAAACTAGAAAAATAGGGACCACTTTGGTGGGAAGGTAACAACTTTCTGTGCACCTTTGGCATCGAGTCATGCTGGCCTCATGACCACAGAGACATCTTTGGACAGCACTGGCTCTTCAGCGTAGAAACGGAGATGAGTACCGCCCCTAGAGCCGGAAATGACTAGCATGCATGTGTGGGGAACCTGTTGTGGTCCGCCAGCAGCCGGCGGAGCTGACAGCGAAGTCGGACAGCGATGAGGCTGAGGAAGAACAGGGGCCAGTCTTGGAGGCTGGGGAAGGCCCGGATGAGGGTTCTGCGTTGGAGGCAGAGATGGGGCCAGGGCCATCGGGGAATGAGGTGCGGACTCTGGAGCCTCCAGAGGCTGACAGTAGAGAGGCAGAGGAACAGGAGGAGCCTGTTCCTAGTGCACGTATGAGAAGAGCTGCCAGAAGGCAAGAGCAGCTACAGCAAAGAGAATGACTCGGGAGTAGGGCTAAGAGATGATTGGCTCCTCCCATAAGGCTTAAAAGGCCAGCAATGGCTCTTGGGCTCTTTCTCAGAAAACAACATTGATAGACTTGATCTTGTCTTGCTGCACTTATCTCTTGTCGGTGTCTTCTCCTTCTGAACTTTTGCCAAGAGAAGCCTTTGGCAGTTTGCCTAATTATACCAAGGTTGGTGATTAGACTGAAAAATTTGATTTAGTTTGGACTACGCTGAGAATGAGTTAATTCTCAGCTGTTCTAATAAAGTCTGTTTGTTTTGGAACTGTTTGCATCTAATACTACCTACTTGGGCCTGGGTCACAACAGAACCTTTACCTTTAGTTTACATTTCAATAACTGTGCTTGACTTGATTAAAACTTTGGTTGATTGAAATTTCTGACCAATTAATTACTGCTAATAGTGCTATTTGATTTACTTTGATGTGTTTTATTGGAGTGCTGAACATTACCAGCAGTGGTGAAATTTTCCGCGGATTGCCACTGGTTTGCTGCCCGCACATGCGCAGTGCACGCCAAATGCGTGCTTCGCACGGAAAAAAGAGGCTTAACAAGGTAGGTAGAACAGTGAGGGGGGGGAACAGCAGTGCCACGTGATTTAGATTCACTAGAAAGCAAGATTTCATGCTTTCTGGCAAATATAAATCATTTAGGCACTGCTGATTGTCGGAAATACCGGTTCGGATAAACTAGTAGCTTTTTTTTTTACTACCGGTTTGCCTGAACTGGTAGCTTTTATCACTACCGATTTGCCCAAACTGGTGCGAACTGGTAGCATTTCACCCCTGACCACCAGTCACTTTCCATCAAATGGGTGGCTATATAAACAAACAAACATATACAATATAAACACATTATAGTAAAATGAATGAGTTAATAGTCTCCCTTGAAAAATAGTGATATGCTCTCAGGAATTCATTTTTTGCAGAGTAGCTAAAGGCTGCGAAGCTCAAAAAGAAAACCCGAATGAAAAGAAGTAAAAACTTTATTGCTGTAATAATAAATTGGGCTGAGGAAATGTAATTGCTAAAGAGAATGAAAAGGCAGAGCAGTCTACAATAAAAAATGGAGAAAAATCTGCCCCTAAGTGATTTTCTGCTTCAGAGCAGGCATTTCATTTTCTCAGATGGGTTTACAATTACCTAAATATAGTGCTAACTCCGGCATGCTACAACCTAGTTGATAGTTAAAAATGAGATGCACAAGGCAAGATGGTACAAAGGATGAGTGATAATGCGGCCTCTTATCCAGCTTACACTGCCAGGTTTATGATAGTGGCTTGAAAGTTATCTCCTGGCCTTACGGTTACTGTGAATATAAGAGAATCACACCGGATTGTAAATGTTCCACTTTGTTATTGATGATTATCAGAATAAAAGAATTTCTTAGGATATTTCAAATGGTCTCTCTCCCTCTGGATTTTTGGTGAAGAATATATTCATCCCCTGTTGAAGCTTGGGAAGAAAATTATGGCTTATGTGAGAGAATATGCCTAGTCTCAGATAAGATGCTGCGTATGTCATTCACAAGGTCAATTGCTAATACAGTTAATCCTCCCAAGGATTGGGAAGAGAGGAGAGGGAAGAGCTGAAGCAGAAAATGACATGGAAGAAGTAGATGGTGTAAAAACACCCCCTGACTCCATCGTTTTAAATTATTCCCCAAGTTGAAAAAGATTCTCCAAAGACTTAAAATATTAAAAGCAATGTTAACGGCAGGTACAACAGTTATCAATTAAAAAGTTCACACTAGCAAAGAAGGAAAATAAATAATGAAGATACTTTTGGTATGTAAAAATACAGAGACTGGGTGGGGTTGGTTCAAGAAATGAATAGTTCAATAGAACTTAATTAAGAAACTGGAATGAGGCCAGCTGGACAAGTACAAGTCTAAGAACTGGAAAAAAAATGGATTAATTCGAGTTTTCAGCACCATCACCTGACACTTCAAATAGTCTACCTTCAATGATAGCAGTGCATCAATGATAGCAGCATCTTCAATGGTAACAAAAATTAAGAGCTGGGAAACATATAACAATTGGTGCTCTCTGAGCCTGGTTGTTTTTCCTGCTAGTAAAGGTTTGTTCTCAATTTATATTCTGGTGTCTTGTTATCAGTGCTGGTGGAAGGGATCTTGGAGGTTCTTTGGTTGGGCTGTTTACGGTTAGCTTGTTTGAGGTAACTTGTAATCAGTTCCTTGATTGGGATAACTTGTTTAGCTGTGGTGCTGGAGAAGGCTCCTGCCTATTCCTCGAACAGCAAAGTTGACTAACAAGCAGGTACTGGAGAGCATAACCATTATCATCGGCAAGCAAAATCACGAAACTGCGTCTCACTTACTTGGGCCATGTCATGCGGGGGAATTCAGTAAAGGCCACCAGGCCACCAAAGAACATGGTGGCTGGACACCATCAAAGCTGACACTAGTCGGAGCATAGAAAAACTCGAAGAATTACTGCGAGATCGGAAGATGTGGAGAGACCTGGCCCACAGAATCGCCAAGGGTTATTACTTTGATAGTGAAGCACTCGCTTGGTATGGGTGGTTTTTCAGTACATTTGTGTTTCCAGTTTGCCATCATGGTCTCTGCTGATCAGGATGTCCAGGAAAGATAGTGAGTTGTTGTTTTCCTCTTCTTCTCTAGTTAACTGGATTCCTCTGAAGATGTTGATGTTTCTGTGGGTGTTCTCTAATTGGTCCTTTTTTATTATGATGAAGGTGTCATCTACATATCTGATCCATATTTTGGGTTGTATCTGTTCTGTCCCCATACCACGCACACACCCAACCAGCCAGCCAAGGGTTAAATAAACTCTTCAAACACTCAACGTCAGTGATAAGGAACTTGGCAGCAACTCTGTGGCTGCCTGCCAAGAACTTTTACTCCGATAACACAGACAAAAATACACACAGTTTGAATAGTCCAGTTTGTAATTAAATCCACAGCAAAATAGACGTTGTGTCCAAAGGTGCAAAGTGCCTCGCCAGAGATTAGCTTTGTCCATCACAGAGTCCGAATGGCCACCACACTCCCTTTTATAGCCTGTGGGGTGTGGTCCAGTGACTCAGCTTAATCTCTGGCATGCCTCCTTTTCTGCTGCAACCGCTTGTCTCTCCGACGCTGGCTTGGGTCCAACCACAATGTTTCTTTGTCACTATCCGACGACTCGGAAACACCTGGCTCCTGGCCAATCTCTTCTCCTTCGGGAGACACCTGAGGCATTGCCAGAGAGGAGGGTCCTGGAGAGGGAGGCCTGGCCATCTCCTCTCCTTCATGTTTGGAGCCTTCTTCCTCCGATAAGATAGGCTCGGAGGACGGAGCCACAACAGTATTTCTGGAAGTGCTATGGCTTCCAGACCTTGTGTAACGACCTCCGCTATAAGTCCTGAAAGAGATGATCCCACAGATGTACCTTTAATTTGTTGGTAAGTTTGTCCACCAAACTGGAAGCATGTGGTTAGGCATAGGTTTTATGAAATCCATAATTCTGGGTGTTTCAATCTTCATGTATTTGGTTAAGTCAGGTGTGCTATGGATCAATGTGGTCATAGATTCTTTGGCTAATTCCAGATCTATCTATGGTGGTAAAAAGGGCTGTGACATCAAATGAGACCATGATTTCATCATCATCTATAGTCATGTCTCTGAATGTTTGAAGGCACTGTAGTGGGGAGTTGATGGAGTGTTTGCTTCCACTTGTAAGGTGCCCAAGCTTTTTTGTTAATTATTTTGCAACATTGTAGGTAGGGGGTCCCCGGTAATGATACAATTGGATGGAGAGCTTTTTTAGGTTTGTGTATTTTGGGGCAGCTATACACATGCAATCAGTGTTGTGTGCCTAATTATGAAGTGGTTGTATTCCTCTTGCATGATTTTTGGATATTGAACATTTGAATTATATAGTGTTTTGATTAGCTTTTATGGTTAATCGGTATATGAATAGACCAGGGATGGGTTCCACTTACTTTCGCTACTGGTTTGCAACTGGAGCAGGAGCGCTTCGATCATACGTGGCACTTCTGTACATGTGCAGAAGCTTTTGCACATGTGCAGAGTGTCCGTAATGATGTCCGGGCGGGTGGGCAGAGCATCCTGCTGCCATTACTACTGGTTCGCAAGATCCGGACCAAACCGGTAGCAACCCACCACTGGAATAGACATAATGGAAAAGACATAATGGAACTAACATTTTGGTTTAGGGGCCAAAATAAGTATAATAGTTTATATAATTGTTTCTATAAAATTCTCCATTCAGTAGAGGTTATTTCCTAGTCTTTGTACATTTGGAATCATTTGATTATCACCTTCATATTAAAGTCTCCTACCAATTCCAAATCGTCCTTATGAAAATATATTACCACTTGGATAAAATAGCAGAATCTCTTGCCACAGAACATTCCCAGTGTTTTCCTGGTCTCTTTGAAGAGTCTTCTCCCTCTTTATAATAAGATAATTCATGAATCACAGTAGTATCTAACTTATGCAAACACTGGCAACCAACACTGACATTGGCATCATTCCAAATGGTAGTTTGACTGAATGTGCCAGGAGGGGGCAGGGGGAAATGACAGTTACAAAGCTTAGAATGTGAATGCAAGGAAAATGACAGCATGGAACATTCTCAGATTAAAAAGGCAGTTTGAACAACTACTTCAGTGTAGGAGAAAAGATGCTATAGCATGTGTTACCCAGGCAGCCAGGATAAAGAACTCAATTGCATTCCTTCTACAATATGGCCATATGCCGAGTATATATCTGTATTCCACCAGACCAGTGAAATACTGTATATTCTACTGAAATTCTGGAGATCGTAGAAATTCTGAAAGCCTTGAGCTGGATATAGAAAGTTTGCCAAAGACTAATCTAGCAGTGATGGCAACTGAAATTAGCAATTTGATTTTCCAGTTAAGACCTGGGAAAGTTCCTGGGAAACATTTAAACACATTACCCTTCTGGACCATTAACATTCTTCCAATGATGACCTAGTACAGTGATCCCCAACCCCTGGTTCATGGACCAGCAATGGTTCACGGCATGCCAGATATTGTGCCGCACAAAGAAGTGAAGTCCCATCCATGGGATGCAGGCAGCACATGAAATCACGCCTCCTACAGTTCGCGGAAAAACCTCTCTGCACGGAACCGGACTCTGGTGCCCAAAAGGTTGGGGGCTACTGGCCTAGTGTAATAAGTACGATTGCTAATAGCAGCAATATACTTTTGAGAGGGTCTGTTTTATAAACAAGATATTATCTTAGCTTTCAGGATAATAACTATCTCAAAATAATGAAATCAACATTCTCCCTCCATTAACTTTCAGGATAGCAGTGTGGCCAATGCACACCTGAATTCATGCCAGAGCATCTTTTATGTCATTATTCAGATTGCTTTCTAATCTGAACCTTTCTTCTGTTTCCCCTTATTACCATTTTTATAAGGTTCTTGTTTATGTACCTTAACAAGCCAGGCAAGGAAAAAAATTAAGGTGATGAAATAGAAATAAGAGCGCCATCGGGGAAAACTGTCGATTGCTCGGTACATCAGAAAGACCCAACCTTCCTGGGATGCAGCTTCATAAACAGTAAATATGCTTGTTCCTGTAAATGATAAAAGGGGAAAAAAATGTTCTATGCAAATTAAATGAATCATTTAAAAATAAGCATCATCTCCCCTTAACATCATTTGCCTATTTATGAAACACATTTCTGTGCCCCAGAAAAGCGAATGCATTTTCCTTCTTCAATTCTTTTGATAAGCTTTCATCTGGTGTGCAAGAACAATGGTCACTATATGATTTTATGGATATATTAAATTATCTGATATTATATTAAAATATCTGCGGGTACGCTGAATTAAAAATGGTTGTTATTTATACTCATTTGTCTTTTTCTACAATTCGGGTATTTAAGCATGAATAATAATAATAATAATAATAATAATAATGATAATAATAACAATAATAAAAAATTCTAGAAAAAATAACAATATGGTTTGCCAATTGAAGTTGAATAATTACAGAGGAAGAAACCAATGGTTGTACTAATATTATAGGATCCCTGGGAGCAATACCCAAAGGACTGCCCAAATACATGGAAATTTTGAACTTATTAGACCTGAATATCCTGAGTTGGCAAAAAAAACCCATCCTACTTGGAACTGCCTGTATATTCAGATGCTACCTTAACAGCTCTTAGGTCCTTATGACTTGAACTGTTACATTTTTACCAGCTCCAGACTGTGAATCAAATTGAAGATTAACCATAATAATAAATTCTGAAATTCTGCCTACATACTCAGACATTTGACCTTAACAATTCTCAGGTCATTGGTTAGGACTTGAACTGTTAAGTTTTTACCAGTCCCAGACTGTGAATCAAATTGAAGATTAAAGCAATAATAATAATAATAATAATAATAATAATAATAATAATAATAATAATAATAATAAAACAACAACAACAACAACAACAACAACAACAACAACAACAACAACAACTGAGACAGTGAATATCTTGTGGGACTTTCAAATAAAGACGGATCATCATTTGGAACATAACATGCCAAATATCACGGTTGTTGAGGGCCGAAGTGTAGAGTTTATTGATATCACTATACCAGGAGATGCCAGAATCGAAGAAAAAGAACTGGAAAAAAATCACGAAATATTGTGATCTGGCCATCGAAACTACATGGCTGTGGATGAAACATGTAACAGTGATACCCATTGTCATCGGGGCACTTAGTACCATGTCCAAGAATTTTACAAAACACATCAAGAAATTGCAGCTTCCTGCAATAACACCAGCGGAACTGCAAAAAACTGCGCTACTTGAAACATCATATATTTTAAGAAGAGTCTTGGTTGATACCTAGGATGTTGGCAGCAACCTGTATCAACCATTAGCACCAGTCAATTGTATTTGTGACACATTTTTAAATGTTCAGTTGACTGAGTTTCATGTTTAATGAATAAGAGAGATAATAATAATAATTGCTCTTTGTTTCTCTCCTGCTTGCTTGCATTCCCAAAGAAAACACCAGTTCTGACATTCTAAAATTAAGGCAGTTATTAAGTTTAAGTATGAAAAGCAAAGGAGAAATAATTTAAGAGGGAAAAAAATGTAAAGTGTAAAAAAAGGTGAAGCTGTATGTCCATGAAGTTTTATCTGCAAGGATATGGAAATGCATTCCATTTTCTCTGGAGTTTTTAAAAAAACTATCCAGTCCAAATGAGATAATTAATATTGTCTGGTGATTTTTCATCCAAGTATTAACCAGGCCCGATTCTTCTGAATGTTTCAAAACTAGTCAAATATGGCTAAGTGTAGCTGTCTAGCTGGGCACAATTAACCTGATGCTTTTTGTTCTGCTGTCGCAAAGGTTTAATGACCATTTGTTTTATTTTTTATTCTGTAAAAAAAAATGAGCTAATAGTTTTACTTTAATAACATCATAACTCCATTATACGTTAATTCAGAATATTCAACAGAACAATGTGGATTTCTTCAATAATTCTATACTCTATATGGCAAAGGAGGTCTATGATTCAAAGTGGACGGGAAGCAACTGAAAAATACAAACCCAATGTTATCCTGCCTTCTCTGAAACATTAGTACCAGGGGTGTCAAATTGGCAGCCTGCGGGCCAGATGCATCATGCGCAGGCCATGCCCACCCCAGCTCTGCGAAGGGGGAAAATGTCACGATACATCACGTGACGGCAACACCTATGCATTAAACCAATGCCTCTTTGATTTGCCATATAGTTAAGTTGCATCTTATTCTTCCAGTAATGAATTCAACTGTTGTACACAATATACTCATTTTATCCACCCAGTTTTTCTACAATAGCAATAGCATTTAGACTTATATACCGCTTCACAGTGCTTTACAGCCTCCTCTAAGCGGTTTACAGAGTCAGTTGAGCATATTGCCCCCAACAAGCTGGCTCCTCATTTTACCGACCTCAGATGGATGGAAGGCTGAGTCAAGCTTAAGCCAGTGAGATTCGAACTGCCAAATTTCTGGCAGCTGGCAATCAGCAGAAGTAGCCTACAGTACTGCATTCTAACCATTGCGCCATCATGGCTCAATATAATATAAATAAACAGCATGATTCAGCCTTAGCTGTAGAGTTTTCTTTCATTTTTTTATTTATCACATTTCTACACTGCCCATCTCAACTAAGAGACTCTGTTTACAATAAAAAGATAAAAAGTGTTATGAAAGCTTAAATACAACCAAGGGAAAAAAAGAAAGTTACAATTAAATGCAAGTTTAAAAAAGGCAAAAGGTGCATCCTTGCTCATCACCAGCCACTCCCATGTTCCATAACACCCACGATCTCTACGTTTAGTTGTAGGCAATGACCCTCATCTAAGGCATAAATGTATTGACTATTTGTATTCTCTTTTAGTTTGGGGAAATTTGTATAGGGAAAATAAACTATTTCTGGTTTAAAAAGTGGCAAACCATACATGCTTTTCCAAAAGAACTCAAGTCTTTCTTAGATGATTGATAAACTGCCTGCCAACTCTTTGAACTGAACACAGAAATGGCTTAAAATGCCTTTAAAGCATTTTAAAGACAACTCATGTAATATGCCATATTTATTAGATTGTGATTACCATATTAATGTATGTTTTTTTTAATTGCATCTGGAAGCTACAGTCTAAGAAGCATCTTTTCCAGTATTTCTTTTCAATTATATTGCGCTATGTAACTTTCTGCCTACAAATTAACACATAAGGGTTTTTTTTTCCCCCTGTGATACCACCAGCCTCTTTAAAATTCTGCTAAAAATAAATGTCATTAGATTGACATTCGGAACATGAATGAACACTTCAGAATGAGATATATAATCTGAGTTGCTGGGATATTTAAAAAACAATTTGCTTGAGGGGCTGAATCGCTTACATATCAGAATGTCAAATCAAAAGCATCTAAAACAGACTATTCTGACATTCTGGAATATATATATATTTTAATGTTGACATTTGCAAAACAGCATTCGCTGTTTTGAAGCAGGATTACTTGTAAATTAAGACTTTCTGCTTTCTCTTTTATTTTCATTCTGCCCCTGTATCTCCTTAGGGAAACTGATTCGTGCTAAAACAGAAGCAAACATCTGACAAATACCGATGGTGAAGGGGAAATAATACCTTATATATTGCAATCTGTCCATCTTTTTTTTTGCTTGGAATCCCGACGATGGGATGTACGTCCCTCAACTATTCCACAGGACTATCATTATATAAGCATAATTAATTATGGGAGGTTTTATTTCTGGATATGTAGGCAGACTTGAAGTGTCAAGGTTTTAATTATGATGTCAGAGAAATCAGGAGGGACTTTACTGAGGCCTGCAATTCTCCTCTGAGATGAAATTCAACAGCTGTTACATTACAAAAAAAGAAGCAACAAAAATGTGGTGAGTGATTACACACACACACACACACACACACACACACACACACACACGTGGTGGGATTCAATTTTTTTTACTACCGGTTCTGTGGGCGTGGCTTGGTGGGCGTGGCAGGGGAAGGATACTGTAAAATCTCCATTCCCACCCCACTCCAGTGGAAGGTTACTGCAAAATCCCCATTTCCTCCTGATCAGCTGGGACTCAGGAGTAAGAGAATAGATGGGGGCGGGGCCAGTTAGTGGGGGAGAGGTGGTATTTACTGGTTTTCCGAGCTACTCAAAATTTCCGCTACCAGTTCTCCAGAACTGGTCAGAACCTGCTGAATACCACACCTTCATCTCTATCTCTCTCTCTCTCTCTCTCTCTCTCTCTCTCCCTCTCTCTCTCTCCCTCTCTCTCTCTCTCTCACACACACACACACACGCACACACACACACACCTATATAGTATACAGATACATAGTTACATTTATAGATAGATAAATATAGACAGACATATAGATATATGGTGTATGTAGGGGGAGGGGGGAGGGAGGGAGGAAGGAAGGAAGGAAGGAAGGGGGAGTGGAGGGCAGTTGGTTTTTTTCTGCATTTAAATTAATGTCTTGTACTGATAGGAAAGTCATTTTCAGATATAAACAAGGGTTACTGCTACTTCTATTAAGGATTCTTTAGCACTGTTGGAGGCTAGAAAATACAGAGAAGCTTTGCTAAATCTATAATTAACTCCATCTTCCTGAAATCAGCCTACTGATTTCACTACTCCAAGCACTGGCATTGCATGGCACACTGCTTTTTTTAAAAGAAAGTTTCTTTAAAAAAAACAACACAGTTACTCACAGAACCTGTAATGACCTCTTATAAAGCCCTAGGGTTCTAAGAACCTCAGTTAAGAAAGTCTGTTGTATACTAACGTTGCTAGTGTGTTGAGGTTGTACATGCAAAAATGACGCAACCAACAGCATAAATAAATTCAGTTAGGTATCTATACAAAATTACCATTAATGTTCTAGTATTGATAGTGACACTTAAGAATCTAACATAGCAATATGAGTATCACATTCCTAAAAAAATGCGGCAGTGGTGGGAGAAGTCAAAAAGATAGATTTTTTTTTTATTTTTTTATTTTTAATTTGATTTATATGCCGCCCTTCTCCGGAGACTCAGGGCGG